GTACTTCTTCTCTCCAATGGTTCGGCAGAACTATACTCACTCATGAGAAATGCCAAACGGTTTGAAAAAGTGTCATTTTTCATGTCCGAAGACTCGAAGGTGCAACACTTCCAAAATACCGGACGAACTCAGAAGAGCAGCATGGCAGTATGTTCTTGACAACTTCTTTGAGTTCTCCAGGTACACCTTGGAAAATGCTGAAGAACTCCGACACAGAGAATTTGGAGAAATTGCGCTCCAATACTACCTTGACAAACAAAGGGTAAAATAAGACTAAAAACTTAACGTTTAAAAAGTGACATTTTTATGAGCTCCGAGTCACCGAGAAAACTTGGTCAGATGTTAGCAGCTTACTTCCCTGAGGAGGATGGAAGCGTTACATACATCAGGTTCAAAAACAACGAACCTGGAATTGCGTACCAAATTCGCAATTACATGACCATGGAAGAGTACGAAAGGTTCCTACAAGAGAAACCAGCTCTAAACAACTCAGAAAAGAAAGAATAAAAAGTTTAACTCGTAATTGTTTATTTTTTTACTTGTATGGGCAAGCTGCAAGAATGAAGTCGACTATCTCAGTCTTTGTCTTGACCAGTTGGACTGCTCTTGTAAGCACGTCTGTTTTGCGGTCTCCAGCTGGTGTTTGACCTTCGTAATTGCGCATGTTCTTGAGAGCTCCAGCTGTAAATGGCTGTAAGATGAAGAGTCTCTCAGACTGCTTGAGGTAGTCGTCACGGTCACGAACCGAATCTGTGGTACGAGTAGAATTGGTCGACCTTAGGGAAGAGACTGAAAGCCTGTCATCTTCCATAGGGGCTGTGGCATAATCTTTGCGTAAACGGTTCAGACCTTCTTCGAACTCTTGGTCTCTCTTCGATTGGGATTGAGATTGGAATTGCTGGGGTGGAGCTTGCTGGAACAACCAAGGGTTGGGGAAGTAAGGCATAGGCTGAGGAGGGTAGTTCGGGAAGCCTTGTGGTGGGTAGTAACCTTGAGGTGGAAATTGGTAGTAATTTGGTGGAGGTACTTGCTGGAACTGAGGTTGCTGAGGAGACTGTTGTGGTTCTGCAGCTTTCGGTTCTTCTGGCTTTGGAAGGCATTCAGGAAGAGGAACGTCAGTCATCCGTTTGTGTCCTGTCGGAAGGAAAAATTTTTCCTGTCGGAAGGAAAAACTTTTCCTGTCGGAAGGAAAAACTTTTTCTGTCGGAAGGAAAAGTTTTTCTGAAGTTCGACCAAAAAGTTCTCAATTTTCGAAAATTTGAATGGTTTACGGACGGACAACTGGAAGAGTTCTTCCTGTCGGAAGGAAAAATTTTTCCCTTTGTCGGGAAAATATTTTCCTGTCGGATGGAAGAACTTGGAATGCAAGAAAGACTTGACGAGGCAATTTACCTAATTGAAATTAACGACTGCGTAAAAGACTACTTGCGCAAGGTAATGAAGCCCAAGGTCAAGTTCACCACTATTTCTGGAAGGTCTACACTTCAGCTCGAGACTTCGACTGGAATTCCAATTCAAATACCAGACGGGACAGCCTACGATGGCATAAAGGACGCCAAAAGAGAAGCTCTTGTTAAGTTCCTAAACAAACGTCCTTGGATAAAAATACCAAACAAGGAGAACCCCCTACCCCATATGAAATTGGCAATTCAGTCTCTCCTTCACTTCTCTGGTCAGCCGTTCTACATAACCTGTGAAGGCGACATTCAGCCAGTTCAGTAAACATCTCATTTTAACTCACTTTTTTATGTTTTTACTCACACTCGTACTCACCAGGTATGAGTACAACTATTTCAACTGTGAACCTTGTAGTGACCGGTCTTCCTGCAAATGCAAGTTCGGTCAATACACAGTTTATGGTGGCAAGAATTGAAATTCCAGACCCAACTCCAACAAGAACTCTCAAGTTACCAGAGACTCGTGTGAAGAAGAAGCCTTCTGGTAAGTTTCTTATAGCCATATACATGGCATGTTTAGAGTAAAAACATTTTTTTTCATTGTTTGAATGAAGCAAGTTAAATTCGTCCCACACCAAACTCAATGGACCGATGAAGAGTTTCAAGCTATGGTTGAAGGTGTTGAGAACGACATAGACGGCGAACTTGAAGGAGCTCAAACCACAATTGCAACCAAAATTGCACAAGTCAAGAGAGATAGCTCCACTTAAAGCTACCAAAGCTACTCTTGACCTCATGGATACTTACCGTTTAGATGTCAAGAGAGGAATAAGACAATTAAAATTAAAACTCTTAAATTACGAAGCTATACTCCAGAAGTTAGCAGAAATGAGAAGACTTTACCAGAGCTACTTACATGTAAGGGACTTACCTTCAAGCAGTCCGACCAAAGATGAATTTTCTGACATTGTCCCAATTTTGTCCGAAAGTCAGCTCAGATGTTTTGAACTGCTCCCAACATATCCAGAATATGAACGTTTGCCTGAACTCTTCCGCAATCTCAAAAAACGTTTTTTGGTTCTCATGTTCGAAACTTTTATCGGAAGAGACAACAAACGTTCAGAAGAAGAACAAGATATTATTTTAAACTTGTTGTATGACATAACTGTCATAACAAGCTTTTTGAAGTAAAACCGCCATTCTCAAACCACTTCATTTTTTCGATGTCCGAACAAGCACCGAAGCCGAACACAATAGCAGATGTCCTTTCAAGGTTGCCAGACAAGCGCCCAGTTCAAATTCAAATTGCCCAATTGAAAGCTCATCTGACAAACACCATTAAGACTCTCCAAAGTAGTCTTATGACAGAGATGACCAATCTCAAAGCCGATGTCCTCATGAACCAAGCTTCCAATGAGAAATGCCTGAACGATTTCACGGAAACCTTGCGCAATTACGAGAGAGAGAACCGAGACCTTGCCAGACTCATCTACCGTTTCTTCGAAGAGATAGACGCCATCTGGAAGGTACTCGGAAAGGACAGAACATGCAACACCGTACTTCGTGAGTACCAAATTGAAGAAGGAATTGTCGAGGAAGAAGAGGAAGAAGAGGAAGAAGAGAAACACGAAGAAGTTCCTGAAGCCGCTACATGGGCAACCCTTGTTGCCGATGACGGTTACGAAATTTCCCAACCCTACCCATACCAAATCCGCAACAAGGAGACAGGCAAGGTTCTTACCCCAGTCCTCAACAACTTGGGACACTTGAACCTTAACCTTCGGAATCGCGGTTCAATCTCCATGGGCAAGCTTGTCGCAATTCAATGGGTTCCAAATCCAGGCAAGAAGACGAAGGTCAGACACATTGACGGTGACAAGCTCAACAACCGTAAGGAGAACCTCGAGTGGTTCTAAGAGTAAAAAAATTATTTTAGGGGGAAACCCCAAGTAAATTTAAGTGTTTAGTTGGATAAGTAGGCACTATTAATGGTAATTTGGAAAATTAGCTCCCGACCTTTGAATTGGGCTCTTTCGTTATCCCAGTTGCGTAGGAGGTCGTCCCAGAGGAGTTGGTAGAATTGCCAATTCAAGGACGATTTGTCCTCCCAGGCATTGAGGATGTACTGCTCGTAGAGTCTCATGACCTCTGCCTTGCACCAGACACCCTCTCCCTTGGAACGTAAGGCTTCTTCGAAGTGCTCGAATGCGATTGGCTGCTTGACCATCCGAAATGACACTTTTTGTCCGTTTGGTCAATGTTCGTGTCTCGTGCCATAGTCGACGAAAATACAGACAAACAGGTTATATATGAGTTTGAGACCAAGAATGGTGTAACTCGACCTGTCCGATTCAAAGACTCCGAGGGCGACCATGAAATTAAACGGAAATTAGCTAGGAAGGAATATAAAATGGACTGGTTGCCACCACCTCCACCTCCACCACCTTTACCTGTTCCTCAAGTAAATAAGCCTTTCCCGTTCCCAAGAATTCCCACATTTTAATTCAAATTCGAATAAAAATTTTTTATTTCATGCAATGTTTAACTATTTCACCATCTTCTTTAACACCCCAGTACTTACGCTTGGAGAGGAAATGAACTTCGGTGAAAATTTTGTCCAATTTGAATTGACCCATCTTCTCACCGACTAAACCCATTTCAATGAGTTTGTTGTATCCTTCTTCGTTCGTCATGAGTGCGTCAATGTTCTCATAGTAAACCTTCACTTTCGATTTGACTTCGGAGAAGAATTTGTTGTATGTCAAGGACTGCCTTTGCGAACTGAGGGTAAGACCAATGTTCGACAATAGGTTTTAATGTGGTTACTAAGCCACTTTGACCTTGAGTGAATTCGTACTTCAAAACAAAAGGAGAAAACCTTTCAACAAAGTTGTCGACCTTCTCATAATGTTTACTCTTCATCTCTTGAGGTTTCTTAATGGAATATCCCCATGTCGAATTCATAAGCAATTTGAGTGTCATTGCAAGTTTGGGGTTTGAAGCTTTCCTAATATCATACAGTTGTTGTATGACTTTTCCAACTGTATAGTTCCTTCCCGGGAACTCACCATCTTCGTTTGGAATTCCAGTCGGAATATATTGGACAAACCTCATGTATGCAGCGTTAAGGTCGACATAGTATATCTTTTCATCTGAGTCGAACTTGTCGCAACCAATTGGTCCAGTTTGTGGAAATTCAAGTGAGTCTCTTATCTTCTGAGAAACTTCTCCTGTTATCTCATAAACATCGTCGAAGCAACCTGTTTCATATAAAACCTTCTGACCTAACTCAGATGCTCTCCAATACAATTTGACGTCAATTGGATGTCTCAATGGAAGTTTGTTTATAGCATCTTGAAGTTCTTGCAACCTCATTGGAAGTTCTTCTGGTTCAGGTTGGTATCCGAACATACCAACCCTTGTGGAACTGTGTACTTCTTTTGTACTAGAACTTTGTCTGGAACAACTTTTGGTCTTGCTAACAATGAAAAGTTTGTTTCGTCTTTTGGTACAAAAGTTTCTGTCAGCTTGTCATCTGGAATTGGTTCCAACAAACCTTTCTCGAAAAGAATGTTTACAGCTCTGACAATGTTGCACTTACTTTTACCAAAGAATGGGTTTGTAAGACTTTCGTTCAACATGAAGTGGTTGTGGACAATTACAATCTTCAACCATGGTAAGTCTTTGTCAACAACATAGTCGTCATGTGAAGAACCTTTAGCTGTAGGTATGTTGACTCGGATATTGACATTTGCCAACGGTGCAATTTTTGCCAATTGACCTCTGAGAATGTACCTTGTCTTCACACATGACTCAAGATACTTCATCTTCTCATCTGTAACAAGACCAGAGTTCCTGAGACATGTAAGAATGCAAGGTTCATTGACAATTGTTTCAATTGAATTGTAAATTCCATACCTTGTCAAGTCAATGTCAGACTTATTTATGAACGGGAAGTATCCAGCATGTTGTCTGACTGCTTGAGGGTTAGGTTGGTACCATTCGAACTTGACACTTGCAATTCCTTCAATTGCATTCAAAATGTCTGAGTCGGAGTCAACCATTTGTTCTCTCTTTGTAGTCTTGAAAGCGTCAAGAAGTTTTGCGGCTGTTTGTTCATTGCCATGTGCATAGTAAATGTGACCATCCAAATCTGTTATGGTCAATCTGAGATTGTGTCCTTTCTTATTTCCGTCTTGAATTGCAGCAAGTACTCCCATGAAGCCTTCTTTGTTCTTTCCTTCGTCAAAGTTTACTGTAAAGGTTCGACCAGATGTAATTTGACTTCTAACTTCACGATACTTTTCATATGCATATCTTGTTCTTTCCATGGGAGCATGTGCGTCTTCACCTTTTCCTTTTTTCCTTCTCAAAGGATGCAATTGTTCGTCATGTTTCCAGTAGAATCTGGCAAAGCCGTCGTGTCCTTCAACTTGAGGTTCACTAACATCGAAAGGCATGTCCATAAGACGTTCTTCTTCTAACCTCTCTAGTCTGTTTGGATAATTGGCACGTGCTGTTTCCAAATCCATTTCGTAGCGAAGACCAGACAATTTGTCATAGACTTTTATGGGTCTTCCCTTCCTATATTTAAAATTCTTCGAAACTCTCCAACCATATCTTTGTAACTCTGCTTTTATTCTAGCAGACTTTCTATCCATTCTATATGGGGGCATTTTTATAAAAATAAAAAAATATTTTTTTTCTTTACTTTACATAACCGCCTGCTGCCATAAGTCTTTGACGCCAACCCATACCAGCTAATGAAGGTTGACTTGGTTTAGTTTGGAAACTAAACTTTGGTTTTGGTTTATCTTCAGTTTTTGGTTTTTCTTCTTCTATCGGTTTTTCGTCACTTTTCGGTTCCTCTGACTTTACTTCACTTGCAGGAACAGTTGTGTCGTCAACATCTTCATAAATATCATATGCCATTTGTTTTTGTTTTCCTTTCAACTTTTTGTGTTTGTTGTAAAGTTTAGAATATTTCGACTCTAAGTCAATGAGATGTTCTATAATGAACTGTTGGTCAGTGAAGTAAACTTTTCCATCTGTTGTCTCGAAAGCTCCTTCAGACTTCAATATTTTATTTGTGAGAGTCTGTTTCTTTTTTGAGATACTAGCCGTTCCATTTCTATGAAAAGTGACTTTATAGTTAGGGTTTGTATTTCCAGACCTGGCACTTTCTATTATTGAATTTTTCTCTTCATCTGTAAGTTCTTTGACAGGTTTTGACAATGGTTCTGAACTTTTTGTTTGTGGTGTCAAATCTACCGTTTCAACTTCTTCGGTCATTTCATCTCAGTAAAAAATTTTAGTTTGGTTTGTTTTCAACTGGTTGTTTAGGTTTTTTAAGTCGGTCTAAAACTTCCTGAGGTATAGGAAGAACTTGACAAACACGTGGTGTAACTGCTGGAAGCCGACAAATCCATCTTGAACTCATTTGTCTCAATGCTGTATTGTTCATTTCATCTCAGTAAAAAATTTACATTCCCCACGTTTGAGGCGGTTGAGGTTGGTTATTGTTTACCCACTGTTGTGCATGGTTATATCCTCTGTTAAAGAATCTTTCACCTTGGTCCATATAGTGTCCTGCTTGGTTATAGTAGTCATTTGCTTTGTTATAATAGTTTCCTGCTTGTCTTCCTACATTGTCCATCCATCCTTGAACTTTTCCTCTTGTTTCAGGATTTGGAATAAGATTTGTTGCATCTCGTGCTACATCCCAACCTTTCTGTACAGTTTGTATAATAGGTTGTGCTTTCTCTTTAAGTATACCTAATGTACTCAAAATCTTCCTTCCAATTCCAAATGCACCTCTGGCTATTGTTCCCACTGCGGGTAAAAATCTGGATGCGACTCCTGCTAATGCGCCAAATAAACCCATTTCTTATAGGGTAAAAAATGACGAATCCGAACAAGGACCCCTATGTTTCTAAAGCGACAAAGAAAGCACTCATGATAAAAATCTTTAGTTCAACACCAAATGCTTGGTTTATGGATATCTTGGAAAACATTCCGAGAGTTAGAACAGATGGACCTCCATACTGGTTAATATTTGTTGGTCAAAACACAAGATACTGTGAAGCCATACCATTATGGTCCAAAAATATTTTAGATGTGAAAACTGCTTTGACAATATTCGTTGACAAATACCATCCAACAAAACTGACATCTGACTGTGAAAGTTCTTTCAAATCAGATGATGTAAAAAACTATCTGCGTTCAAAAAATGTAAACCAATATTTCATTGTCGACCAAAACCATTCTGCTCTTGGTGTCATTGACGGTTGTATAAAAATGTTAAGAGACTTAAACCAACCACAAGGTGGTGAAGCAAATGAAATGTCATATGACGACAAGTATAGACACTTCTCCATGGCAAAGATGAGACAAGTTTTAAATATTTACAATAACCGTAAACAAAAAGGTTTGGGAAACCACTCCCCGAAGAAATGAAAAACAACCTGACTTAGAGAAAGACTATATATTTAATAATTTAGTCAAAAGAGACAAACAAGAAAGAATGCCGGGCTTCAAACTTCAGAAAGGTGACAAAGTAAAAATAGAAATACCTAAACGCGACCCATATGAAAATACTATTGACTATGACAACAATGGGAACCCGACAGGTACTCACATTCGTGTTCGTAAAAATAGAAGAAAGTATACAAGAGAATATTATGAAGTTTTAGGCAAACATGGCAAAATGTACACACTGCAAGCAGAAGATAAAACTACTATTGCCAGACCTCGTTTCAAACTTGTCAAAGTTCAAGGTGGTATACTTTCAAAGACAGTTCCTAACAAATATAAGACAACTCCTGACGAATATGCTAAAGAAGTTGAAAATGACGACTAAGCAATTCTATACCATGCGTAAACTGTCATGTAAGGTGGCATGTATTCTTTACTTTGTCCCGTTGTTTGCGTATATCCTGAAACGAAATGTGTATGGTTTCCTTCTCCCTGAGTGTCACTCCAGTAACAATTTATAGCAAACTTAACTCGTCTTTAACATCATATCCTTTACCTTTTGTCATTCCTGACCAATCCCAATATCTATGCTTATGCCAACCTGCTTGAGATGTACTTAAATCTATGTAGTGACTGTGTGCAGGTAAATTTTCACCTGAAATCGTTTTACTTCCACCTGTTTCCTTTGAAGAGTTTGCACAATACAAAAACCTGTCGACTATTTGTTCCCATGCACCAACACCAAACATTACTTGAGGACCTCTTGCTTCCATAGATGTATAAATAGAACCTACTGGGTTCATTAAATCAAACATATGAGATATTATAGGATTGTCTCTTTTGAACTTAAAATATAGTGCAACTATTTCAGGTTTCTTCTGGTTTGTGTCAGAATATTTTTTATAATATAATCTTATGTTTTCAGGGTAGGTAAAGTCTTGACTATAATATTTATTTCTGTCATCTGTATAATAATATACTATTCTCGTTTTTTCTATTGCATTATATCTTTTATATCTATAATAATCTAAATATAATGTTAGCTTTTGTTCATCTACATGTGGTGTTCTGTCGTCATCTCCATAGTCATAATAATGTGGTGCTGGAGCTGGGTCAGGTAATATCATATCCATCATTTCATAAACTCTTAAATATTTCTTTTGTTCGTCTCCATATAAGTTTAAGTAGCAGTTGTTGTCTAATGGAACTTTAACTTGTGTACCATCATTCTTTTTATAGCTTACATACATTTCATTGTTATTTTTCGGAATGAGTTTATGCCGTGTACCATTTTTTAAGGAGTGTACCAACTGCCATCTAAAATATTTATTTTCTTCATTGACAGAAAAGTCACCAACAATAGTTTCAATATTTTTTGTTCCTATCAAACTTTGGTATATTTCATTGACATATGTTTTATCTGCTTTATTTTCAAGGCTAACGTTTAAGTCTGTTATTTCAGATATAGAATGTGTATGTCCAACGGCACTTTTCCTGTTTAAGGTTTCTTGTAAGTTTGTAATATTTGCAATGGTATGTGTATGTCCAACGTCACTTTTCCTGTTTAAGGTTTCTTGTAAGTTTGTAATATTTGCAATGGTATGTGTATGTCCAACGTCACTTTTCCTGTTTAAGGTTTCTTGTAAGTTTGTAATATCAGATATAGAATGTGTATGAGTCTTATCTGCTTTTGTCTCTAATGTTTCCTTAAGACTTGGTATTTGTTAATATAATGTATATGAGTCTTTTTAGAATATTCGTTTTCAGCTCTTGTCACTTCACTTGACATTTTATTGTCAACATATGTTTTGTCTGCTAGTTCAGGATGAGTATGTTCTTTTGTTGCATAAGCATTGTTAGCTCTTTCTTCTTCTTTTGCTATTGCATCGTCTACATATTCTTTGTCAGCTTTGTTGTCAACATCTGCTTTCAAAAGAAGTTCATTTATAGGTTTCTCGTTTAAAGTTCCTTTTGTTGGATTTATACAGACAGTATGGTTCTTATTGTCTTGAAACAGAAACTCATCTGTCATTGGGTTTATTGTCAGTTTTAAGTTTCCCTTCTTTCAATGACTCAGATATCTTAGAATAGTTTGAAAAGTTTGTTGTGTTCTTATTTAGAGCTTGCATAATGAGTTGTCGGTTGTGTTGTATTTCTCTCATAGACGCTGTTTCATTTGACATTTTTATTATAGATAAAATATGCTTCCAATAGAAAAAGAAAATTCTAGAGTTGCTACAACTAAACCATTAGATGAACTTTTTACTAATGTCGGTCAAAAGTTTGACTTAGATACTATAAAGCATGAAGGCTATCGTTTTGACTACCCATTAAGATGGCTAAGAGACCCATCTGTCACAAAAGCTATTGGCTTTCGAAGAATAAAGTTTGTGTCTGTAGAAGATAAAAGTTTTTCCATTTATTGTAAGGTTTCATATAGATTATACATCTGAAGGGCAACGAAAAATGTGGGAAGAAATTGAGCTAATACAAGTTGACCTCTCATCTTCTCTACAGGCTGCATTAAAAAATATAGAAGATAAAATAAATTCATGTTATGCAAAATATGCTGATGAATATGCGAATACCAATAGCACACTTTATGTGAGAATTGTATATGACAAACAAAATTCACAAGTGTCATTTCAAATCTACGAAGACAATCCAAAGAAAGACGAACAAATATATACAGAATTCACTGCAATGTCATGGTATTATTTGCAAAGAATGTTAAATCAGAAAGTTGAACCTCCTTTAGCAAATATCTACAGTCGATATGCAAGAGATGAACCATATTTATTTAAAGATGTTTTCGACCAAGATGCTGTGATAGTTCATGCTTCATTTTCTGGCGCCCAAAACTCTTTCTTATGCTTGGCAAATGACTTTTACGAAAAACCTACAAAGTTATACGAACCACCAAGTGGAAGTATTTCAGACTTTCAAGTATGGTTTACTACAGATGGAAGAAAAAGAATAATTCCATTATACCATGCGTTTTACTTAGAACTTAGTTTCATATACAACTACTATCGAACGATAAAAATATAACTTTTTA